ATATTACTTCGGTATTACAGCGTGCTCGTCATTGGCTAAGAAAACTCGCACCAACCATCCAACCAATCAGATGCTTAGCTGAAACCATCACGATTAGGTTACCCGCGTTTTTCGCGCTCTAGGCAGTTGTCTCACTTTTACTTTGAGCAATTATCGATTTCTTTGACTTTCTGATTTCTCAAAGCTCTATCAGGCTCCAAAATTACCCTGAACAACCAGCTTAACCTTGCCTTACCGTTTGTCGTTCTCAGGCGGAGCTGGATCAGTTTTCGTCTGCTTTACTGGACGCCGGCGCTGACCTTGCTCCATTAGAGTTCATCAAGAAGTGGAAGTAAGTGTTATTGAATGAGAGTGAGTTAAGGACCACTCATTATTTATCCCGGGGAGGGGGGGAGTGAGGGGATTTTGGGGATTACACGGTTTTCAGGGGATTTTGGGGACTATGAAAAATTGAGTGCAAATCAACTGCCAATAAGGGGGGGAGGGGAGGGGTTATAAAAATATTACAGAGCCTTATGGGAAGATAACGTAAATTTTGTCGAGAAACATCCAAAATCCTCCGACCCACAGAGCAATTGTCTCGGGAAAATCGTACATCCTATTACGTTGAGTCTCGCTTCCTTACTGAAATGATTCTTCTTTTAAGAAAAACCTGTCATTGAGCCAGGTAAGATAAACTGAAAAGAAACTCCAAAATGAAGATATTTCCATTGTTTTTGTTCTCAGAGCGTTTTCCAAGATGACAGTTGGACCTCTCCAGTCAGGGGGAGGAGGACAAAACACATACAGGTGAGAAACTAACCCTTTGACCTGTAAGAGTTACTACCATCTCGTTTCGTCTTACATTAGCATCCCTGAATCACACAGTAAGGTCACGGAAATTAAGGAAATTATCACCAACTAAAGAAGCTCTCGACTGATAAACAAATTCTCCATGTCGTCACCTAAGGAAATGTATAGAGAAAGGTATGGAGAATATGCATACTCATCTCAGGGTGTGGAAGGTTAAGGTAATGTAAGACTGAGAGGATGTCCTCTCATTACCCACTTACACTGACATGGAACGCTTTCGACCTGGCTTTGCCCTTGAATCTACCTTTCCCGCCCTGGGGAGGGGTTGAACCTGGGCCAAAGCGGAGGGCGTGGCTAAACCCCTGTCCGGTGGCGGAAGTGAGAGTTCAAGGACTACATTAATTACTTTACACCTGGGCGATCCTAGCAGTACAAGCGTTTCCTGCTGTTCTTGCCTTGATTACTTTTGTGGTTGTGATTGCCTGTCAGAAGCACACCAATTTTTTAGTTCGTTTAGTTAATGTAGAAGTAATCCGCGATAGCATTGGTTTTACTTCATCAAGTTGGTTGACAGGCCGAGAAGCTCGCGCTTCTTTCTCGACTAATCAGATGCAAAACTATATTGAAAAGCATTCCAGTGGCTGTGGCCTTGCCATCATATCTATAGCTACAAACAGCTTTGTTGTCTTTTTTTTTTCAGTGCAATGTTTTCACGGTTCATGAACACCGGATCACAATTCGTTATGGAGGGTGTGAAGAACCTTGTGGTCGGAAACAAGGTGAGTGGCGGATCGCAGTTTAAAAAATGTTTTAGAAGTATATAAGTGACTTGAATGGTCTCTTGGAAACAGGGATCTTTCGGATATAATTTTTTCTAAATGGGTATCAGAGAATGATAAGCAGTGACTTTAAAAAAGGGATAATAAGCCATTTGTTCAATTTTCCTCAACAGAATTTACCAGTCACACGGATTGTCGACGCTCTAATGGATAACAAGTCAAATCCGGTAAGAATGAGGGCTTGTCTTACTAATAGTTCACCGCACTGTTCCGCACTGTTTTCATGTATTTTCAGAGCACCTCGTTTGACAAATTTTATGCTGTGTAACTCTTTTCTCTGCAGGTATCATGTGCTTCGTTCCCTTACCTTATTCTTACCTTTTGCTTCGTGAAGAAGATGAATTTTAATTTATAAATAAAATAACTTAACATTCATTTAACAGATTATTGCAAAACGATATTATTATAAGTACTTCTCAGTAGCTTTTATCTGATTGGTCACAAAATTACTTCTTAAAGTTAGAACTGCTTTTCGGTAGATTGGAGAAAACTTTCTTGATCGTTGATTTTTTTGTCCAAACCCTTTTTTTTTTCAAGGAAACTGACGAGTACAGATATTTTGATCCAAAGATGTTACGGGTCACAGACAGGTAATAATTATTAAAAAAGTAAATCTGTGCATTGTATTTATGACATTCATGAGGGGAAAAAAATAAGAATAAAAGCTTTCATGCGAGAGAGACCCCTGTACCCCTGTGTGAACCTGTTCATTTGGCCCCTATGGCCAGAGAATTTTAACCCTTTACCCCTGAGAGTGACTGTCATCTATTTTCTCTCACAATATCACCCCTGAATCACACATTAAGGCCACGAAAATAAAGGAAATGATCACCAACTAAGGAAGCTGATGATTGTTAAACAAATTCTCCTTGTCAGCACCACAAGAAATGTATAGAGAACTGTATGGAGAATATGCAAACTGAAGTAAAGGGTGAAAAGGGTTAATGTTTGTTTTCTTTCTACAGTTTTTCCATTCCTCGAAATAAAACACCGTTTAATGAGGTAAGAATTACGTGGAAGAATATTTGCGCAGTTTTTTATGTAGTTGATCGCGAATATTTTTAAGTTGTTGACTCTAAATAATGCTCTTGGTAATAATTGTCTCATGGTCCTTATTTACATTTGGAAGAGTGATTAAGTTGTTAGTCTTACATTATATTCTAATATTAATCATCCTGTTGGTCCTCGTTTAAATTTCTGTACATGTTCAACAGGCGATCGTGTTCATCGTAGGAGGTGGAAATTACATCGAATATCAGAACCTGGTGGATTACAGTAAAGTGAGTGTCCTGATATTCTTGCATTATTTCATACAAATGGTTTATTCTTGCAGGATAGTTGGCACTTGTGTTTATTTGAAATACTGTTTTGGTTTCCTTTTGAAATGATGACAGCTGAGACGATAACCTCGTATGTTAGTTCTAAATGAGTTTTCAACAAGTTTTCCCCCTCCCCTCCCCTCCCATAAGCCCTTCCTTTAAAAAGTCGGTAAATCGATAAGCCTCCTCTGACCCCGTCTTCCATTAGGAGGGTATGTCAGGCCACTTACTGTAAAAACTTCGCTAAATGCACTTTTCTTACATTTCAGAGGCATTCCGGTGCCAAAAAGCTGTTGTATGGTGCTAGTGAAGTAATGAACGCTTCTCAGTTTCTTAAACAGGTTCGTCTTCATCGATGATTATGCTCTGTTTGCCGCTCATTTGTTTTCTTTTCAACCTTGTACTATGTGATTAAACTTCGACTGAAACTTAAGTCTTCACTTGGCTGTGATATTGACTTCCGCTCATGTTGTTGAATGGCAACCGACAACAATCCTTCCCAGGCCTACTCTCCCCTAGACGATCATATCACACAATCAATTGATAAAACAGATGGTTGAGTTGTTCACTGAATTTTTGAGATCATTTTTATGTTTATTTCCGCAGTTGTCACATCTTGGCCAAGAGGCTGCTTAACGAGGAGAGAAGTGATGCAGTTAAATTAATAAACAAAGTTGAAGATATTTCCTGCGGTAAATCTTTTAAGAAAAAGCAGACGATGGTGATTCATACCTTTGTGCGCCTACCATAAATTGTAATTTTCCATCTCTATGGCAACTATACGTGTTGTAGACTTTTGGTTGCAATGGGGACTAAAAGAATTCTGTTAGTTCTTGAAAGGTGCGTTTATGGAAAATCAGCGTACAATTTCCCAAGGTAGTTCATTTCTTTGGTGTACCAACGAGGCAAGGTGCGAAGTCTTTGATTTACAAACTATTTTGTTGTTCTCATATATGATAAACTCCTTTTCACAACAAGGGTTTTGCACCAAGCCTCCTCTAAAAGTGAGGGTTCTTCGAACTCGGAAAAGGTGAATGTTGCCAAAGCGTCACGGATTTCTCGTGAGGAATTTTGTCACGTGTTCTTCCTTAAGGCGCATGACATAGTAAAAGAAATAAATCATGCTTCGGTAGGAAACCATTGAAAAGTTGTGATGATGAACATTTTAGGCAAGTTCATTTCTTAATGAATGCACGTTATGTTGAACTAGAGAGTGAAGTAGCTTTAATTTAGAGATTTTAACTTGAGATCGTTCGTCAAAGAACAAAGTATTTATAACTGTCATTTCCTAGAATGGATAAATGAACTGATTTCTTCCAAAATTATGTCAACGATTTCGTAAAGACAGGTTATGAGAAATTAAGAGCTCATCAAAATTGAGAATAACGAATATAACTCTAGACGACTGACGAAAGGTTATGAAAGACAATATATATTTTTTTCTGGAAAGTTTCAGAAGAACGGTGAAGATTATGGATCGTGCTATGACCGACTAGTTGCCGAAAAGGTGGATCGAATGTTTTAAAAACCTTGTTAATTTGATAAGACTTGTTGAATCTGAATCACATCCTTGCAGTTTATAGATGCGATGCAGTAGTAATGATGGAGTAATGTTCTTTTGCCTCCTCTTTGTTTCATGAAGTTATCGCCCTGTAACTACGTTCAACTAATCGTAATACCAACGCTCTACTCAACTCAGCCGTGTAAAGACACGATTCTGGTGGGTGTCTTTTCCTAAAAAACATAGAATAAAGTAGTTTCGAAATCATATTGCTTGGTTGTAATTTTGCTGTATCTTTAGTTTGGAGTAAGGAAGGGGGTTTGGGTCGTTTTATTCGCGCATACGCACAACCCCGTTCCCAAGGTCCTCTTATTATTTCCTCCCTTGAGGGAGGAGGAGAGGGGACCTTGGAAACGAGGTCGGCATGCGCATTTAAGGCGTTGACGGGCGTTGTCACCAATTGTAAGTAACATCTCTTCTTTCCCAAGCCGGAGACCTAAAACTTTCGGGCGCGCCGTAAACCAAAAGCAACATCATGATCACGCTGAACTATATCTAACAAATATTTCTCTAAAATCTAACAGAAACATTGTTTAATAAACTTCAACCTTCAAAGAGACTTATGACCATAAACATTTTACTATAACCTACACTTGGCACTTTCTTCCACTTACATGTAAATTTACTAGTTAAACTATGGATATTGGAAGGCTTCTAGAAAACGTCTCACCCTGAGTGATATTAACGCCCACGTCGCAAATGGAGGCCAAGTGCCTGAGGGGCCTGGGGACTACAACTGTAATTGCACCCAGAGGCGCTACAACTGACTGGCCTACCCAATGATATTAAAGTGTCTCAGGGCAGTCTTTAGCCTAAGTTCTTTAAATTTACTACTTAAATAGAAAAAGTAGAGTTGAACTTCTTTCCCGGCCCTAAAGGCTTATCACCTGTAAGACAGCTGGCCTCTACGCAAAATAGATCTCCATCCAAAGGCCAAAGTCTGATTGCGCAAATATAAATATAAAAGCGCTATAATTCAAGATAATTCAAAAGACGGAAGTTCGTCTTCTTTCATTTTCACTATGCACTATTCCGAGCTGCCTTTCAATTTCATTTTGTTCTAAATTGAATTCATTTTCTTTCGGCAGAAACCCTTCCTAACCGCTTTTACGCTCGCACACTTCTATAATTCTTTTGCGTGTGCATTTTGCATCTTCAGGCATTTTCTCATAATTTTCTCCTACTTCGCTGAAATAATTATTTTCTAATAAACTATGCTTTTTAAAATTGGTTGTCTACCTAAGTTCGTCGGCCACTAAGTTATGAACTAGATGTATAGGAATTTCATAATTTTTAAAACTACTTATCAGAAAATCGAGAAATTTGAACTCATTTGTCACTCTTGAGGAGGATCATCTTGCAACTGAATAAAATGTATGATGGATCCACGGGGGGCCGTAGGCTCGATTTTCGCTGCTCTCTCTCGTGCCCAGTCTTCGCTCCTCCCCGAGGAGACTATGGGTTCGGGAAAAGGGCGCAGGCTCATATCCCCCAAGAGCGGCTGGTAATCGAGCCTAATCAAGGCCGTTGATCTTTCGCGTCCATAAATTAGCTTTCCTGGCCTTAGGAACAAATCTTAAGTCAGTGGAGTAAAAATAAATCGTTATTCGTTTTTCTTGAGGTTAATTTTGAATGACAGCTCACAGGGCACGTTTGACCGCTCACTGGTCAGTGAAGTAACCATTGAGACCCTTTTTACTCTTTTAACCCTTGACCCCTAGGAGTGACTGACTTGTTAATTCTCCTAACTGCATTACTAGAGGAAATGATCACCAAAAAAGTACCTCTTGATTGTTAAACAAATTCTCCTTGCCAGCACCTTGGGAAATGTAAAGAGAACAGTATGGAGAATATGCATACTGATGTTAAGGTATATATTAAGGGTTAAAGGAGGAATTTGATCGTTTCGGTTAGACCGGAAGTGAGTGAGTAGTCGGGGGAATTTTCCGGTGTGAGACTGAGCACCACACGCAGAAGGTCCACAGTGTGTGACAGGGGAACCATACGACGGGATAACCTTGAAGGATCCTGTAGAGGAAAGAAAAATTAACAGGAATGAGCCACCTTCAACAAATATGAAGACGCGCACCAGAAAAACTACGTCAAGTACACCAGATCGAGGCTCAATGGTAAGCTATCCCTGTTCGATATTTCAAAATTGGGCTAACAAAGTTTTCTTTCGTGATTCGGTTAACTTGCCCCATTCGTTAACTTTTATCGAATACAAGTTAACGAAAAAAATTTGTATACCGCCAAGCTCCTACCAGCAAAGTTTTTAGGTTGAGGGACTTCGATTTTGTGGTTGTATTCGTGTATTCGACAAAATCCTCCTAGGTCGCGCCCAAAACCAATGAACGGTGTGATCGGATATAAGGACCATACTCGAGGGCAGAGGACAGAGGACAGAGGCAAAGGTCAAGGTCAAGCTACGGAGCAAAACTCAAACAATGAAAGGTCAAAGTGATACAGGTCGTCCCAAATTAGGAGGTAAGGTTCGAATATGGAGCAAAGGATAAAGTCAAGCGCAAAAGTTAAAGGTCAAGGTGCAAAATATCAGGGGAAGGTAACAACGTTACAGTTAAAACACGAGGGACAAAATATGTTTTATACAGTACTTGTGATCTGATCCAGCTGCTTATCTGAGTTGGTAGACGAGACAATCGATTAGCGCGTTCAGCTGACTCTGACGCATCTAAGATCATGTATGCTAGTCGCTGTCCCACAACTCTTAAAAGGTGAGAGGCCAAGGCCCGCTGGTCGTGAACTGAGAACATGGTCTGGTGAAAAAAATTAAACAGTTTTCAGAAATGTGGTATGCTTAGCCTCAATAAAGGTAGTGAAGAATATTTCCAAAAGCAGAAAAATTTAGAGGGCCTTGAATTAAGTCACGGGTGCGCGCATAACAATTTCTCGAAGAGTGAACAGTTTTTGCACGCTTTTTAAGTACGTAAGATCAGAATGTTTCCATCAAGTGGTGGGATTGCAAGTCCAACGCGCTCACCATTCAACCGCGCTGCCTGATAAATATTCCTCAACAATTTCTTTTGTCCAAACAATGACTTGCCAAGTTTTAAACAAGACCAGCTTGCGATGGAAAAACTTGCCAAGGAGGTGGTTCAAATTAAATTCCTTACGCACCCTTGACAAGTTTTCTTTGCGGGAGAATTGCTGTGAATTTTTCCATGACTGGAGTAATTGAACTGCAGACACAAAGATCCTCACCTGTTTTGCAATCTCGTCAAAACCAGCGGAGTACAATTCCCGCACATAATGTCGCTTAAATGGATCACTGTCCATCCCAAACTGCTCTACAAGCTTGTAGATCACGGCCGGCCAATCACAGGTAGCTGTTTCGGGTACCGTTCCCTTGTTGTCAGTATCACTATTCTCTCGCCTGAGAACCGGGTTGGGAGACTGGGCCAACATAGCGCTCACCGTGAAGGACAGGGCTCGAGTGAAGAACTACGACCAAAAGGCACACAGTGTTGATTTTCTTTTCGACAGACTACAAAAAACCAAAAACTGCTCTGAAGGGGCCGGCGAACTTATGCGATATCAAAATCATCTGTTTCGAACATAGATAGAAAACAAATCCAACTCCCGGTTAGGATTCCAACCAAACGAAATCCGATTGTCTGTCATATACATAGAAACAAAGCGAAAGAAATAACTATAATACTGCAAACAAATACAATCAGACAGGAACCATTTACCTTTTCTCTTGTCTCAACGATGGCTTTGTCGACATCATTAGACGATAGAGGACGATTAGAGCTGAGATCCCTCATAAAAGAGTCCTTGCTCTGCACACAGGTACAAGAAAAACTAATATAAACATTTTCTTGTAGCTTTTGCCAGAACGTGCTCTGACTGAGCGACACCCACTATCCCATTGGCGAATTTATGCACAGTTTTAGTTTAGTTTTCTTGACAGGTCGTGAAAAATCTTGCACACTAGCCAAGCCCCCACCCCTCCACTTGACCGAAGTTTATCCTAGTTCGCGTAGCTTGAAACAACAGGGATCATTACTACTCCCGCTGGAAAAGATGCCATTCTCTCGCAAGGTCACCCCCACACCCCTCCTCTTAGCTCTTTGTCAGGTATCCCGGACAGTTCCCTGATATCCACTGATACTTCATGATGAAGGGAAGCACTGGGACTGGGAGAATAAACTGCCTTGCCAAAACAAACCCAAACGATGTAACTGTGGGTCGGAGCTATGCTCTCAAATCCTTAATTCAAATTAAAAACATCTACAGGCCATTATACAACATATCTGACGACAGTATCGTAAAATGACTATTGTAACAGGATCGATAAATAAAATAATTAAAAAGCACATCATCACCTTTGTATCGAAGAGGGTCAGCGGTTTAACGCTCTTCATGTCCAGTCCCATTACAATCCACAAAACAGTGACCAGCTTGGCATGGAGCTGGACCAGTGGTCCCTCACTCTTTGGCTTCTCCTGTGCCTCTTCAATAAGGGACTCTGTACCCCTAGAAACAAGACAAGGCCCAAACTGACAATCGACGTAGTTGTTTATTAGCATATCAAATCAGGAGATCTTTACATACGTTTCACCAGTGTGCCAGAAATCTTCTGTTTCCAAAGTTATTAGTTGAGATTCCATCCAATCCACCTGGAAAGAAAAACCAAAGTGTTATCTTGAATTGTCCTTCGTCGCCTCTTATTTTCAATACGCAGCCCTACGCTACATGGGTTAGCGAGACAACTTGGGACGATTCAGCGCTCTGCCTATTCCATTGGTTTCAAGTTGTCTTTAAGCGTGTCACGCAACGCACCCACAGCATTTCGTGACATCGCAAAAGACTGCAGCGACTGGGACTACGATCTCAGGAGCAGTTAAACCCGAAGATAATTTTCAAAAAGTAGGAAAGGTGTACCAGCCTATAAAATACGAAACGGGCCAGGATTTTGTACAAGCAAAGCGCCAGACACCCCAACAACTAAAACCTGTGGATACTAACTACTATCCAATACTATGTCAACAAGCTGCTGTTTGATTCTCCAGCCATGGTTTGCCTCCAATAGTTTTGTGTTATATTCAAATAATATTTCCTACCTCAGCTATTACATCCAGGAGAAGTAAAGTGGCCTTAAGGAACTGCACCAACGCACCAAAACTTAAATCCACTGTCTAAAAAAAACAAGGTTTTGAAATATTCAACACAAGTCTCTGTTTTCTGGGCTGCCCGGCCACAGAATAGATGTATAGATTTGATGCAATTACGACTAGATTGCCGGCACACACACCAAACACCAATCCCACAATTGAGCTCTTTTCGATTGATTGTCGTAAAAACCAAAACCAAAACCAAAACCAAAACCAAAACCAAAGTAATCTCAACAGCCAATCAGAAGAAAGAAAAATACCCTAGAGAGCCAATGAGAACTCAAAGTAAAACTGACCCAAATGCCTAAAGCGCGGGAAAACGCGGGCGACCAAGTCTTGATTGGTTTTGGTTTTGCATCTGATTGGTTGAAAGGGTGGTGCGAGTTTTAAGGACCAATCACCACACGAAGTGAAGCAAAAACAGAGCAATCCTGAATTGGTTTCAACACTAAATGGAAAATTGCGCAATTACGAAAATAACGGGTCGAAAAGTGCAAAATTCATTTACCTTTCGACACAGTCGATCTTTGGGTGCTTTTCCAACCTAAAAGTAAAGGGGAGTTCGGTCAAATCCCTTCAGTTAAGAGAGACTCTAGGACTGTTCATGGTCAAGCGAAAAATTGTGAAATATCGCTAATCACAGATGAACGTAATTCACAAACCTTCTGCATTAGGATAACGGTGGCGGATATCTTATCTTTGAAGAATCTCTTCCATGTCGTGACTGCCAAGCCTTAAAATCGAAAAAAATAATTTGGAAAAAGAAAAGGAAGCCTATGAAATAAAGATCTTTACTACAGAGTACTGTCGAGCTTGATAGATTAAATTAAATTGAACAAATAAAAGGGTTAACTATGAAAAAAATAAACAAAAAGAAAAAAAATGTTTGTAAAACTTTTGTGACCTTGCGTGACCTGGCGTGACATACCATGTTGCAACGCAGGAACGTGAATACATTTCAAATGCTCCAGAGCTAAGAATAACTTGTTGGTTTCCTGAAAAGAATTCAAATAAAAATTAATGAAAATATAAGTCAGCACTGAAGAACGAACAGGTGCTGTAAAAAAACTGTTAAAATTCCACTATTTAGGAGGCTGATCAGTTAGCTATCGATGAAGCGTATGAGGTTGAAATGAGTCCTCCTTATTCCCCGCCTCTGTTGGATGGGTGCAGGAACCCAGGACCAACCACATGGCACTAAATGTAACAAATAGTCATGCAGACACAGAAACAAGCGGTTTAAAAACCATTTATATTTGTGACGGGCAGCTCATTGGTAATGACCCCGTTCTCTCCAGCGTTTATCTACTGGGAATATCTTTTTTCAAGTTTTTAGCTCGCATACCTCTTTGTTGCTGTGCCAGTAAGTGACACACTCCATAACACAATGAGCCCACAGTACATCTTGCTCTAGACCATGCGGAAACCTCAGACGCAACTCACTAAGACCTGCAAAAGATTTGTTCACTTTCGTTCGAGGCTTTCAAGTATCTGTTTATTTCGCTGCCTTGGTAATGACAGGGTAAGTTAGTATTATCAACTGAGTTGATGACGTAACTTAGCCACCGTAGAGTTTTAAAGCTGACATTTCGAGCGTTGACCCTTCGTCAGAGCGATTGGTAACGACAAAGCAAATGAAAAAGCAGTGAGTGGTACCACAAACGCACAATCCGCATCGCTTAGTTCACACTCTGTTCAGGGCTTTTACTTCACAGAGACACTCAGTTGAAGGCCCTGTATACCCTGCGCAAGACTGGGTACGACTGATTGGCAGTGATCACCCGTTTAACCCAAATTAAGCCGTTCCTCCTCCCCAGTCTGCCTCATCCTGCGGAAACAAACCTTCGAGTTCGACTTGGATTACAGTTTCAGGGTCTACGTCAGGCAGGTCATCGTCTCCAGTCTCGCTCAGATTTTCAGTCTCCGTCTTCCTTGGTACATGGGGAGTTCCCAGATGATTTGCAGGGATGTCACATTGTACGATGTACTTCGATATTATTTTCGAAGCTGCGTCAGGGCCGCTACTCAAGAACTCTGAAGAGATAAGATATGCAGAGAGGGGGTTTTTAAAGGACAAGTACTCAGGAGGTCAGTTTGCTGCCAAACAAGCCACTATTCGTTTCATATTACGGAAAGACAAACAAAATTGGCTTTGATGACGCCTTTGTTCTAAAAGAAAACAGAAATCGAGGGTACCCATGCCTCGTTTATAAATTAAGTCTCGCAAAACATGGACGCTATCAGCTCTTACCGACCACTGAAAGATTAGGCGACCCACTGTTATCAACAGCTTGCTTGCTTTTCTGACTGTTAACCGTCAATCGTTTGATGAAGCCTGCCAGAGCTTGCAAATCGGTCAGCTGACAGATAAGTAAGTTCCAGCGTTCCATCTCAACTGACACTGAAATCCAGTCTCCAGCGGCCAGTTCCTCCCTGTCAGCCGCGTCCCCTTCGTCCTGTGGTAAGAATACAACATTCAGTGACCAGTCAGTCCAACCTCTACAACCCAGTATCTGATTAGAAATAATAATTCTCCCTTCTTGGTTCAATACATTTCTTTGTAAATTAGTTATGAGAATTTGGTGAACACAGGAAAACACCTTTCAGCTGATAAAAGTCATTCAATCTCATCACTTGTTTATAGGATAATGAATCGAAACTGTGAAGAGAAATTATATTTTCATCCGTTCTGGGAGTAACAGGATTAAGAGCATGGTTGCCTTTAGTTTAGTTCACTTTAAACGACGCATTCACTAAAAAAAATTAAATCTTTCACGGTGTGCACCTCAACTTTCTTTGATGCTGTACTGATTTCCAAGGCCACAGATCGGCAAACTGCAGCAAGAAAAAGTGCCCTGCTTGTCGAGGTAGACTGGGCCAGAGTTTGACGTACATTGTCCCACCAAGGTGAAATATCGTTGTCATGTAACTGCGATGAAGACATCTCGCTCGGTAAGCCTCCTGGGAAGGATAAAATAAAAGGGCCACATTAATGGAATGGAGAATTGTGGGGTATAATGTGACTAAACTTGAAAAATCCAAAACCTAGCGTCATCATAAGCAGGGAGTAAAACAGAAACGATGAAATCCTATTCAGGTTGAAAGCCCGATGCTCAAGCACTAAGGAGTGTATAAAGGGGATAAGTTTCTAAATAAACTGTGGTACTGCGTCGGTGGGAGAGTATAGCAAGGTAATTTGGTATTATCAACTGAGTTGATAACATAAATTGGCTACCGTAAAGAGTTATAGAGCTGACGTTTCGAGAGTTAGCCCTTCGTCAGAGCGAAAGAGCTACTACCAACTGAGCTATGAAGCCTCACTTTAGGGGCGAGGCATACCTTGGAGGGCAGCTGTTTGCTTGCTACATAAACAAAGGCCGTAACAAAGTTCAACAATACTCTGCTAAGTGATTATGACCTGATAAAGAACTCATTGTTGAAACCAGTGAGTGAAGGTGAAACATGGATTCTTCTTTGTCATAGCGCTGATCCGGGTCTAACAGCCACCCAGACACCAACAGGTTCTGTATAAAACAAAGAACATCACAGGTTTTGTTTTCGGCAACCTTGATCACCAAAAGAATAACTGCATTTAGATTGTAGTTCCGCTTCATAAAAACGTTGTTAAAACGTTTACTAGCTTTTCCAAAGTTTTTTTACCCTTTACACCCTTACATCAATATGTATATTCTCCCTACTGTTACAGAATTTGTTCAACAACCAAGAGCGTTTTTTTAGTTGTTGATCAATTTCTCTATTCTTGCGACATTTTTGTGTTCAGGGGTTAAATATTGTACGGAGGAATTAGATGGTAGTCACTCTTCGGGATCAAAAACTTAATTTTATTGTAACTGGAAGAAAATAAGCACCACTTTATATAACCCTCAAATAACCCTAATCAAGTCGTCCGGACTACTTGATAATCTAGCTAACGAAGGTGGAGTGAGTTTGTTACAACAGCAAACTAACATATAAAAGCTTACCATTAGGTGGTGAGGTTTAATGCCAGATGACTCAAAAGGAATTGCTAATCTGCTTGACGAACAATCCCCTAAAAGGCAGTTCTAAAAAAGAAATGTCAAGAAAGTGCTATTCAGATCTCAAAGTAGGGGCCAAAAAACGATAAACTTTTGGAAAAAAATTTTAAACACACTGAGTCACCTAGAACGCATATCCTGATGACTTTGATCAGTTTGATAACTGAAGTAATTTCAACCTACCTTGAAAAGAAAGCTTGCTATAGATAGAGGGAACAAAAAAAATTAAATTAAAAAAAGATCTTGTTGGTATACTAGCAAAATGGAGATATAATTTTAAAATGTAACAAGATAAAATACTCAAATAAATCCTTAAACTCCCTTGATTTAATTTTTAATCCTCCCCTCTAGCTGCTACACATTTCATTGTAAATTAGTTACAAGAATTTGGTGTTAGATCAACATAACCACTTTGAACTGATAAATATGCATATTCTCATTACCTGTTTGCTGTGTGGATGTATAGATATTTGAGGGAGAAGTTACATGCTAACCACTTCTAGGAGTTAAAAAAGGATTAAAAAAAGATTCTGGTAGAATATATTTTCAACTTACCTAGTTGAATTGTAATATCAGTGGACAAGCCTTTCCTAACACCAACAGTATTAGGTAATACAACTCTAGATGACCCAGCTATGTTCTCTTGGTTTTTAGCATTTGTTTCTTGGCCTTGTTGGTGAGCTGAAGTGTACTCAAAACAACCAAGGAAAGATGACACAGACAGCTGAGGAACAGAGTGGGCTGTAACCTTGGGTGTGGTTGTCTTGCTTCCTCTGAGAGCCACAGACAGTAGCTCTGATGCTTCAGATTTTGTCACTCCAAGGAGATTTGCTATAGACTACAATCACAAATAAAAGTTTACTCAAAACAACCAAGGAAAGATGACACAGCCAGCTGGAATCCTTAGTAGGTTGTACCCTTGGACATGACTGTCCCGCTTACTCTGAGAACTAACATGGCTTTGTTGCATCACATTTTGTGGTGACAAAGAGATTGGCAATATGCCTGAGTTGTATACCATTCTTAGCCAAGAAAGAGAAAAGAGGGTGTGCATAGCACATCCTCAATGTTGCAGGGAAGAAGGCTGGTGGTGTGTTTTATCCTCCACTATCAATGTGTCACCATGAAAATTAAAATTTTGTGCACAACACTGTCACATTGAGGTGCTTAGTTTATTCTGTAGCATGAAGTAACTGGGAATATCTCAAACTACTCTTAACAAGATGTCAATACCCATTTACACTCCTGGGTGGGGAGGCCCTGTGAAAGTAAAGTAACTTGCTCACAACCACAACACAATGACCCAGCCAAGGTAATAACTCTCAACGCTAAGCCTGCTGCACTAATAACTACTAATAGACCACTGCCTAAATAAGACCACATACTAGTTCTTTACTCTTTCCTTTCCAGGGTTTCTCCTCAGAGCCTGATTCTTCTTCTTTGTCAAGCTTTTGGATTGAATCATGTGTTTCTATTAGTTGCCTCTGAACATCACAAAAGTCCACGAGTGACTTGGTGTCTTCTTTTTCTTCTTCATGATCATCAGAGGTGTGATCTTATGTGAGAGTAAATGGAGAGAGGCATTGTCAGAAAGATGTGTTTAGTACCAGACCATCCAGCATTAGCCTAACAACCCCCCCCCCCCAGAGGGCTGGTATGCTGGCCTCTTCATATAGAATCTGACAGGTCAGTCATTAGGCTGCCACATCTCCCACTCATGATGAGCCACTTGAGCCAAGCGGTCTTTCCAGCCAGAGCTTATCCCAGTTTCTGTAGCATGAAGCAACTGGAGGTATTGTCACTCATTCCCCCTGGAGGTGACCCCACAACGTACAAGTATTGTCTGGTTGGCCTGACAGTTAGCTGATATCCATTTACTGTATAATCCTGGCTGGAGAGAGGCACTCTGCAAGTAAGTGCTGGGTGCAGATTTTGCACCTGAGCCTCTTCCCCAGTGTACAGCAGGCTAAAGTTTACACCACCCTATCTTCAACTAAGGAGACTAATGATAGGTACAATTTCTAATGATAACAAATACCACACTCACTTTGCTTTTGAACTGTGTCCTTGACAGCTGTCACAGCTTTGAGAAGGACAGAGGAAGGAATTCCCACAGTGGACAAAACACACTGAAGACCCTACAAGGAAAACACAAGAACCGTTCATACATGGTTACGTCTGTACTCAAGCCAAGTTGCCCATCAAGCTGGAGCCTATCCTGGTTTCTGTAGCATAAAGTGACTAGGAGTATTACTATTCCCCAGGGAGGGGGGAAGGGAAAGGAATGCCAGTCCATCACAAACTTATCCCAAGTGTTTCATCAAGCCTCCTTGACACTTCCCCAGTACCCATTTATACTCCTGGTTGAAGAGAGGCTCTGTGAAAGTAAAGTGTCTTGCCCAACAACATAACCTGATCCAGTCAGGTCTCAAACTAAAAAAAAATTAAATGTCACCATTCAAATTGCACAGATGATGGAGCCAACAAATGAGAGGTAAAATGCAATACCAATCTCAGGTTCTCTCTGGTAATGATATCATTCATTTCTGCCCCTGCTGTATAGTTGCCACATTGGTGACTATAATTAGTGGGTTTCCTGTGTTCCTGTGCCAACCCTGTTATGAAATCTCATTTAAGTTTCCATGCAGACTACATTCTTCTTTGTCAAATGCAGTGATTACATTTATTACGGCTTTAAAAAAAAATTAAAATCACCTGCTGATGCAGTTGTGGAGTTTGTATTTCACTGAGAATATTTAACAAATCCTTTTCCAGTTTGTTTATGTTCTCTGCCTTGGACTCTGGATACATCAAAAATTAAAATAGTAAGAGAGGTTTTTAAAAAGTTCTGCAAACAAGTTAATTAGCACAGAGTTGCAACCCTTCTATTTTCAATTAAAGAATATAATTTCCCTTTCATGAATAATTTACCTTACTACCACAATGCAGCTTAGATTACCTTGGCCAGATTTGATTGAATCCAAAAGAGCTGACAGTTTTTTTAAAAGGTGTAGATCTCTGACTCTCTTACTGTGCTTGTCACTAGGAGAAAAAAAAAGAGTCTATTTAGGTTGTAACTGAATTTTGAACTTGGACATCCTCACAAGTAAAAACTCCTGAACAACATTTGTGGGAGACTGATACAGTGTCCACTGCCTTCACATCATCTTAAAGTTCTTTCTTCTTTATATTTTCTTAAAGTTGATGAAGAGGCCAAGGCTACTGCCTGGCTAACCAACAAGTTGACAGTTGCATAGTCTGACCACAGGGGATTCTGGTTCCTACCAGAAATTCAATTATACTTTGTCCTGAGCTAGGGAAAAATGTTTAAAATCTGTCTTGATAAAATTTACCCCAACAAACAAACTTGTTCTGCAAAATTAAATAAGCTCATCACATTGGCATAATGGAGGTTTGTATAAACAGTTTGTATACCTCTAACATGGGAGTAGAGGATATGTACTATATTCAACAATTATTCACTGAAGTGGAGGTGAGTATTGGTAATTATTGTTTTTTTAGAGGGCACGGTAACGAATCTTGCAATCTTATTGGTTCTTTACCCGGTCAGTATTTTCCTATCTCTGCCCACGGGCCACGGTAAATGTTTCGCTGAGGCATCTCTCTTAAATTTGCATCACCTCTATTTCAACTACCATTTACTCACTCAAAAATTGTTCAGTTTATGGAAGATCTTGCCGTATTTACGGCCATAAATCATTCGCGTTCTTTCAGAAAGAATTTCGTCAAGTTTAAAAACAATAAATATGTTATTTACGGATTAGCCAATCATTAACAGGTAATCATGCCGGTCTTGATTACTAAAAATGCCCTACGAGTATTTTCAAGAAAAAATGGTCACAGTCTCTCTCATACCAATCCCAGCCGGCAAATAACACATATATATCCACCACTTTCGCCGACACTGAGGTAAATAGTTGTTTAAATATATACCACACAGATACCAAAAAACAAATTTCTTTCTTCCAATATACCAAAAAAATGATTGGAAATTAAACTCTTGACATGCAACTTTGTTTCATTGGCTGCTTGAAGGTGAATGGTACTTGTTATTCACTTCTGAACTAACTAATCAGCATGCCCAAAAAGCACTATTCACTTGTGTGGCATATACTACATAACAGTATTTTAATATACATTTGTACACAGAATGCACAATCTTAAACTGCCAGTATAACTAAGGCAACACAGAAAATGATCAGAAAGCTGCAAAACACTAGAGCAAAAATTTCTCTTCCAAATTGGCACTCTTAATCCCCACGGTATCAATGAGCACTTTTCATTCAACTAATTTATTCTTGTTTTCTCATCACAATACTCCCACCAACAGCATAGCTCCGCTTTCTGCATATAAACCCACACACAACCCACAATTCCTCCAATTGCTCTAACAAAGGGCTAATGCTCAAAATGTCAGCTTTTTTACTCTTTATGGTGGCCAATTTACATTTTCAACCTAGTTGTTAACTCTAAATTACCAGAAAATGATCAGTTAGGACACCCCTTCAAAGCATGTAAGAATTCTCACCTCAGGGCACAGTGAAATGGTACAGTGAAAGTTTTCAATGTACCATCCCCTTGGATTAGAGTACAATTCAGTGTGTGCTGTGGGAGAGCCTGCCCCTGCTTGATCACATGACCTAATCCCATGATTCCATGTCCAGCATACAAGAGCCTGATAAAAAGCAGAATTAAAAAATACAGTTTGAATGCAACTGAAAGCTGGTCAATGAAGGAAACTGCAACCAAAATTCACTTGACACAAGCAATAAATTTTGAAATAATTAGTTAAAGGCTAGAGGCTAAGATCCATGTCAGTAAATTGTGAAAGAAAAAAAATAGCTGAGAAACAGCTTTAGTTTAATCAATCAGACAATAATTTCAAGTGTAAAACAAAAAGTAGACAAATGTTTGAAAAGGAAAGAAATTGCTCCAAACATAACTTCATAGCTGTCCTAGCCTTGTCAATAGTAATTAAAATCAATCTACTACAACAGTTTAAAAATTTAATACATGTTTATGTGTACAAAGCTTACCTACAATCCTTTCCAACATTAAAGGCAGCCACACGTGGCCCCTGTTCAGTTCTCCAGATCTGGATAAACACACAGTGAACTGACTATCAAAATTAAAGTTAAAGATTTCTGGTGCATGTGATATCAATTTGTGGATAAAATTTTGTCCAATAATGTGAGTAGCAATAGGTATTCTCAACCATACTTAAAGGAATCACTAATAACAAAAATCTTCCCCCAAAAATAAATTTAATGTTATTTTACTTTAAATATTGACTGAGGCAGACCATAGCAGGAACTCCTGTTCAGTTTTCACTGTTAATAATTAACAATTATTGTGCAGTATGAAATGTATGGATCAATGTCAGAATCTGAGAAATTATGTACCTACCCCTCCCCTCACCCAATGATGGTTAACTGATAACAAGTTAGGGTTAGCGTTGGGTTAGGGGAAGGGTAGGTGCATATTTGCATAGATACTGACATTGACTTAAATGTTTCACTACATGACTGGCTTCTGAAAATATTATACCCAATTACAGCAAATGCCCACAAAAAAGAACAGACTCACAATACATACCTCGAGGATTCCTCTCTTTGTGGCATAAATAACAAGAAACAGAGCTGTTCTCAATGAGCTCTTGGGTGGTTCCTCCTCTTGATGATCCTCCTCACTAACCATTACCCAGCCACATTCAGCATCACGGTAACCTGCCGTGCAGAAATGGAAAGGTTACACCTGCACTAGGATCAACTATTACAGCAGATCAAATTATCAAAGTGCTAAAGTTTCTAAAAAAAACTGTGGTTCTGCCTTGGTGGAAGGTAAAACAAGATAACTTAGTTTTATTAACTGAGTTGATAATATGAATTGGCCATCATAAAGAGTTTCTTAAAAATAAGGATGGTCTGATACATTTTTTCCAATCAATACAATACCATGTATGATACTGACATGTTTCTTCAATATTGATATCGATACTATGACATCATTGAGTTAAATGGTAAATCATGTGATTTGACTGATGAAATATAGGGTTACCTTGCACTGTTAAAGTTATGCAGTGTTCATTACTCTATAGAAGCATCAACAAGACAGTCAAAAATTTAACACCAGATTAAGTTCGCACTGAAGTCAAAACTCATGGTCATCAATGAGTTCACCCTTGCACCACTCACATGCCACTTACACAAGTTCAATGTGGTGCTCATTGGCCAATCTCAAGCCCAGAGTCTTCTTGGCTCCTTGTCAGCCAATGGTGGCTGGCATGAGACAACATGTGGGCTGGTCATACAGCATTGAAAGTACTGATACTTTTAGTTAGTATCAATATTTTCCAATCTGACCTCCATATTGTCAGTATCAAATATTTGGTATTGGAGGTAGATCCATGCTTAGTTTCCCTTAATGGTGGCCAAGCTAAATTATCAACTCACTTGATAAACCAAATTAGCTTCTAAAATGGAGTTTTTCTATGAGCTCTATAAGCATGTTACTCATCTAGAAAAATTTTTGGGTTAGAAATTCCCTTCAAAAAATGTGACACGCATGTCTGAAGCAAAGACCCTTAAGACTCTAGGATTTAAAATAAAAGACCCCCTAAAAATAAAGTTGAAACATTTGGTGTTTCAACCAAGGTTCAAGGATGGAGTCACTATGAGCATTTTTACAAAAAAGTCTTTTAAGGTTTGTAGATGATGAAAAGTTAAATGTTGTAAGGTGTGCTTGGCTCTTGAAGTCTTCAGAGGTGTACTGTGAAAGAAAGAACTGAGAACCTGCACAGAATTGGTAATACTGCCCCACATGGAATATCGCCAGCACCTGTACTGGTTGAATACATGTATAAGGTTACAATAATTTTTAGCAGAGAAGCTCAAAATGAACACATCAAGGGGACCTTTATTTTTTAAGGTTCTGTTGTCCTAATGGAAAAGCAATCAAAGTGTTTGGAATAATCTACCTTTCCATATTCTAATCACAATGGCCTTTTTAACATCCAGTAACATAACTCGACCAAAATCATCAGTTGTGACAGCCAAACGCCCATTAGGAGCTAGTGTGATGCTTGTTCCATGACGATGTGTATCAGGCAACCCAAATCTACAAGAAAGAGCAACTGACTCAGTTCTACAAGGAAGTCCTCCCAGGAGGGGGTTACTTTCTATAATAGGCTAATGGAGATGTGCCATTGGATGGGATCACATTTTCACAACTGGATAGACTATAACAGCATTACATTTTCTATACAGTAATTAGAATGGGGTTGCACATATTTGGCAGCATTTTTCGGGGATAAGAAAATTCTGGTAAGTAGGGGATTTAAAAATAGCAAGATTTGAAGCTAAAAATTGTAACCAAATTAACAAAAGTTACATAGATTGGGTCTATAATTGGCAGCAGAATAGACTATAATAGGGTAGGGGTTCTGAGACACCAGCAGTACAAACCTAGCAAAAATGGTCAAAGTACAAGGTACTCCTCCTCCCACCCCACCACAGGGTCCTGCCAGTATTTTCCCACTTTCTCTGTGTTAAACAGCTGCATGTGAAAATTAAACAAAATCCTTAGCTGTATTGGATTACCTTGCTGGTAACGAAGTTCCTTTCTCCACCTTGGGCTTTGCAGGTTTTGTTGTTTCAGTTGACTGACGGGCAGGGTTGGTACCCCATCCAAGCCAACCACTGGAAATAAAGACAAAACAAAATAACAGATGTTCTTACCTAACCATCCTGGTCCCAATAATATGGACCTTAAGTAGTCAGGACCACAATGCAGAGGAAGATGTCAATTAAAAAATAAATTTGTATTTTTAGTTAAAATTTCTGGAATGGCTAGTTGTGTTTACCATCTCTTATGGCACATGACAACTCAACTTCAAAATGGCATATGTGTGCAGTGCTGACTTCCAAATGGAAATTTAAATAATTTGCTGTTGAGTTTTCTGTTCTCAGACTATGCAAAGTTTGGTGATTTCACATTATTGTTGGAGAGGATGGCTAAGAAAGATAAAAATTTTTGCTAGGCTATTTTTTTATGCACATAAGATCTTTTGTTTTGCTGCGTCCTTGATGCTGTCCCCATCATAGTTTACTAAAGGTCCCTAACATTGACTAGTGCAACATGAGATCATTCCACTAACCTTGCTGCTGAGAGCTTTGACAGTACTGCTGTTGTTAATTTGCTAGCTACTGCCAGTGCAACATCAGAAATAAGAGGAGGTGAACTACCCTGAAGAGGAGCAAAAAAAAAATTGGAGAGAGAGAGAAATTGAGAATTACAAATCATTGAAGGTAGAAAGTTTGTTTGGGCTAGGTAGTGCTTCCGTCAGCATCAAATACACTTGGTTTAAGATCCTGCTAATATTGGCTTCTGAGTTTCATATTGCAGGTCTTTGACCAGGGCATTCTGTAAGTCTGGTCACAAGTAACAGGTAAAATATTGGTATGTATTTTAGCCCTTAGCAAGTTTTTGACTGCATGGCCTCCCTCTCTGATCAGCTCATTGTCTGGAAACAATCACGTGGAAGTTCATAGTCCCCTGTTTCTCAGGATTTATCAGTATAAGCCCTTCAGAGGTTACCTACCCCATTCCTTCAGTTTGGCAGGATTTCCTTCTCTAACAAAACCCAAATTTTCTGTTCCACAGTTTCCTACCTCCAGAGAAGTGTAGACTGCCACAAACGGCTCCTTCCCTGTGCTGATGTAGTGAGACATGGCTGGCATGGTACCTCTGATGCTTGCATGGAAACCTCCAATGAATGAGGCTGTTTGCAACTGATCAAACATATTAGGGGGTACAACACCTTCAATAAAAAAAAAGGATTGTAAATTTTATTGAAAACTTTCTTTTTTCTCAATCGAAAACTCTTTATCAATAAATTAGTTCATACAACATCATACCCAGTTTAATCTATAGAATTCAGGGTTGTAATTAGAAAATGTAATAGGTGTATGATCTGAATTGAGTAGGTGGTAGAATTGAGTTATGCTTGGGTAGCAAGCATGATGTGTTGCAAAGCCAGACATTGATGTTAGAATCAGTTCAGAAATACTCATTTTTGTCTTCAACCAAAATTCACAAAGTAGCTGGCAAAATATGATGCAACAGCTGGCTCTAACTTTGGTTAAGGAAGAGCATAATAGATAAAAAAGATGTCAGAGTAATTCAGGACGGCAATTTCATTAACATCATTTTCATCTTTCTTGACTTGGCCAACAGCATTCTAATTGTCTTAAAAAGCTGATTTAATATTCTCCAAAACATGCTTACTTCATTGAACAATGATTTCCAACCTAAATGGGAAATTTAGTTCTAGTCACTGCAAAGCAATTACTACAAAGTACAATCTTACCACAACTAGCAATATCTGTGATGTGCCCTTGACCATCAAATCTCCATTTTTTGTAAGCAAGAGGAGGGGGACCAATGAGTTCAGATAGGCCACTGGCTTGAGCTAATTAAAGAAAAAAATTAACATCAAAATGTAGGGCAACATACTAAAAAATTAAATCAAAGTTATGGTTCTGTATCTAAGAATCAACAGTTTAAAATCAGGAACCTTAAATTCTTAAAAAGAGAGCTTGCAGTGTGAGAGCATAAGATTGAATATTTGCGCGAGTCTTACACTTGATGCATGAGACTTTAAAAGAACTCTGCAAAATTAATGGAATTGGCCTCCTAAGCAGCAGCCTCACCTCTTGCCAGTTGGTTTCTGCAAGCTCTCAGTGACTGATACAGACTAAAACCATCAATAATAACCATTGCAGTTGGGTACAGGATGGCAAGTTCTTCAACCTAAACATGTTATAAAACATAGTCTGTGACAAAAATAAGCTACACCATACTTACTAGGCATCCTTTAAGTCCTGAAACAGTTTGGTCAAAAGCAATGCAGAGGGACAAGGGTCTGAGAGGACATTTTTAACCCTTTCAGTCCCATGATCTTGTTACTAATTCTCATTACTGTCCTTCATACAGTTCTTATGACAATAGATTAGAGAATTTGGTATTGGATCAACTAATGATCCTCTAATTGATATTTTTCTTTATTCTCATCAGTTATCTGGTTGATATTATATTGATATTGTAAGGAGAAAATATGTCTTGGTCACGCATGGGAGTTAAAGGGTTAAATGATCATCTAATTTCTTACAATATCACCCCTGAATCACACATTAAAGTAGAGAGAATCAAGGAAATCAACACCAAGTCAGAGAAGCTCTTGATTGTTAAACAAATTCTCCTTATCAGCAATTTAGGAAATGTATAAAGAACAGTATGGGGAATATGCATACTGATGTTAGGGTGTAAAAAGGGTTAAAGAAAAAGTATCAAAAAAAATCTCAAATAGGTTACATTTTTTTGTTTGTAGTGATGTTAATTTTGTTTCCACTTGTTTAACAGGTACAATTCTATT